GAGACGCTGGGGAGTTGTTGATAGTGACAGGCTCGGGCCTGCAGTGTACATGCAATGTTGGAAGCCTCGGTGCTTTAAGACAACCCCGAGACTGTGGAAAACAAGGACACACACAACAGAATTGATTTCGTTGAGTTTTTCCTTCTTGTTTTCACCAGTTTCAGGGTTGTCTTAAATCATAAAGATAAATCAGCTCGCCTGCGCCCTATCAATCATTTCAGTAAGCTTCGGTGATATGAGCCCTTCGACTGTCGTCGTGGGGTTGCGGACAAGGCTGCCGAAGGTATTGTCGCTCACATGAAGGACATGGGATTCTTAGCTTCTTGTCTTCTGTAGCATCAAGGTTGGCGTGGGTGCTCGATCAGGTGCAAAGCACCCTCCACAAAGGCGGTGACGCTCTCGCTCGTCAATGGTGGCTGATGAACGTGCACTTCACCTAGATCTTGCAAACTTCCCACGATGCTAAGGAGGATAGGTTCTGCAGAAGCTAATTGTCTGTCTATCCACTGTGGCGGGCGACAAGGTCATATTGTTCAATCCAGCCCTCGACGTATTCATACACCTTGCGTGAAAGGTCGTCAGAGTGTGAGGTGCTACGGGCATGCAAACAATGGTGGGAGCGGACATGGTTTGCTGCTACAGGTTTGTCATTGTTGGCTTAGTAAGCTTCGGTTTTCCTGGCAAAAGCCTGCTTTCCGGTGGCTCCTGCTGGTAGCAGTGACTGGCTCGGACTTCAGGTTCTTCCTGGTGTATTTCCGAGGTTCGTCGTTATGATACTCGCTCGTCTTGCGGTTTTTCTGCCGGGCTTGAGTTAGGACTTGGTTCACAACTTGCCGGGTGTTTAAGACGCGGGATAGTCCGCCGCCCGTGTCCCGTTATCGGGCAGCTCGGCTGAGAAGCCACGAAGGTGCCAAAGGGTGAAGGGCTATGAGTAAAGTACCCAGCACCTCCACGAGAACGTACGATGACGGCTGAGCATGGGCTGGAACTTTCCAGAATAGTAAATATTGATAGAAGATAGGATTGGAGCAAGCATCTGTGACAATATAACAAAACTGAAAAAAGAGACTCTATCCTGACCACTAAAGAAGTTCCGTTGCTTTGGTGGCATTCTGCCCAAAAAATCTTCTCCTTCGGGGTTTGGGAACTGCCGTAGACAAACTGAACTGAAATTGATGTGGGACCACTTTTCTGGTAATAAGCCGCTACAGACTGTAGTCGCAAAGCGGCGTGAACGGGTGGATTGGGTAGGTAACACGCTTGATGAAATGTCCATAGAGATAGCACTTCGCGTAACGAGTATTAATTAAACTTTTGTTGACGAAACGTGCGACAGACAAGCGGAATCAATACCAACTGCAACACCTGTGCTCCGCGAAAGTGCACGTTTACGCCAGAACAATTTAGAAAGTAGCACAACAGCACCTAAAGGCTTACACAGGAACTACCTGCTTGAAAGCAGCTCTCCGGGGCGCCGCACAACCAAAGTGAGCCTTCAGTCATTTGAACGAAGCGGCACCAAGATTGCGCACTGCCAAGCACGACTCACTCCATTTTCGTCGCTGAACTGTGTATCCAAATATATTGCTCAAGCTTCACTGAAGACCTCAAAAATTCCGATGGTTAAAGGAGCTGTGCAACGATTTTAACGCTGAAATAATTACCATCTTCATCTTTTGACATTGTTCATCTTGTCACAAAGGACAGAAAACAACCTCCTTCCTTCGAAATGTTGCGATTCCGCGGCGTAATCGCGAGGCAAAAATTAGAATGTTCCCCAACCTGCAGCCGCGAGCGGCGGCCATGAGAAACAGGCGGCGTGACAGCAGAGGTTCTTGTAGAAAGATAGCAAGTTGTGCGAATACCTGCTCGATAAAAGGTAACATTTCTCTAAATTATGTCCTTCCAACATGAAAATAAATGCGTCATAAACCGAGTAATCATAGACAAAACTATACGGAGTTTTACTGGCGCCATCTATCGTAGGTCCACAAAACCGCCAGCTTTCTCCGCTACCGCGAACCGCCGCCACTAGCCGGACGGTTATGGCCGGACCCGAATGAGACTTTCCTCCTTTCACCATGCTGTTCGCGCTGCGCCCGCCAGCACGTGGTCATGCGGTCGCGAGCGATCGAGTTCTTGCTGATCACTGATGGCTCTAGAGAGAGAACTTTACCGGAACCCCATGCCTACCCCATCGACGACACTGCGCACGTGACCCGAAATACGATGTACGAGTTGAGAGGTGGCAAAAACCTGGATCTGTTTTTATTTCTTGAAATAAAAACTAGGGTATCCAGGCAACATCTGTTTTCTGTAGTTCACTTCAGAAGTGTCAGGCATCAACTTCCACAGTTATTTAAGCAAAGCCCTGAAATTGTTGCACAGCTCCTTTAACGAAAGCACAGAAACGTCGCCTTTAAATTTATCCTAGCGGTATTCGAATCAATCCGAGGTCCGAGCAACATGGGGCCGATTGTCTCTTTCGTGGCAATATCCCCGTAGGTCACCAACGAAATGCACACCGTTCCTTCTTATTTTCACGTTATTTCTACGTCAGGCACCACACTGAACTCGGAAACCGCTTTCGACCGGCATCATATGACGGCTTCCACGTCTCGAATCAACTCGCCCAGACGAACGACAACCAACAAAGAATCCGGCAAGCTCCGGCCCAGCTGGGGCCAGCCGCTGGCTCAGCGCTGCCATCTTTCCTGTGACGTCACGTATTTGGTTTGGGCACGTGACGAGTGGTCGAATTTGCGTTCAATGGCAGCGGCCTTGGGGGGGTAATTTTCGAGTGCAGACCGGAACCCGGTTAATCGCTCTAAGCCCCTCTACCTCGTCGCCCTTTTCATATTCGCTGGTCCAGGATGAGTGGACAAATAGTAAGGGGTCTATTCTTCGTATCGGGTAGTATGTTGCGCCATCTAGCGACTAAAGTTTACAGCCCGTTCGCGAAAGAGGCCACCCCGTGTTGTCTGTGCCTCAAGTAGTTCAATGTAAATGTTGCTCGCACGTTTCAGTGGAAATGTAGTGATTGCAAAATGGTGTCTGGCGAGAATATGGGAGAGGGGAAGCGGCAGTTGGCACCACCCTTAGCGAAGCGGGACATGAAGGCACCCTACACGTGCTCAGCAGTTGCGCACAGAGCTATGGCCGCCAGTGAACACTCCCTATTTGCGACGTGACCGATCGAAAGCGTCGCAGTGGTCGGCCTTCCACGGTTGGCCGAATGCTGACTATGAGGTCTGCAAAGGATTTCCCGTCGATGGAAATAAGAGTAATGAAATAACTTTGATTTTGATGGTGTTGGCAGCGTTGGTTTTAAAGCGCAATTATTTCCAGCTTCCAGTATGCTAATTACAAACACCATCGAACTTGTTGTTCACAGGGTGATGCCGTCACGAGGGGTAACCATACGTGGCTTGCACATGACGTCATTTCCGATGCCCTCCAGAGAAAAGGGGAAGAAGGAGCTCCCCTCTTATCAGGATCCTCCTTTGTGCATCCCGAATAAGCACAGACGTCGCTATTCTCCCCCAAAGGATTATAGAAGATTAACCTGTCACTCAAAATTCTTACAAAAGCAGCTTCTCTCTCCTCCTCTTTTATGGTGTTCAAAAGTATCCGATGTGACGTCAGTGCAAGGAGCCTATAGGAGGGCACCACCCAAACAGCTTGCCGCTACTAAAAGCACGCTGCGGACTGCCGAGAACTTTCGCCCGACGGTGTTGGCTCTGCGCGCGGCTTTCGATTGGTAAAGGCTGTTTTTTGCACCAACGTGAACGAACGCAACACGCGCCGGAGCACTCCAACGTTCGTCGGCGACTGAGCCACGTTGCGCCGCTCTGAAAAGTGCCCGAACGACCGCGGTTCCTTTTCAGCGTAGTACGGCGAGGTCCACCGCGCCCCGACAAACAGCGCCACTTTGCGCATGAGCATCTCCGTGGCAACTTCCTCCTTAACGTATTATCGCTTCTTGGTCGGTACCAATCATCGGTCAGTTTGGTGCGTCTAAGTGGGGTTGCTATGTTGAAAACCGGGATTCTGGGCCGTGGTTATCAGGTAGAGAACAAGCAAATGATGGGAGCTAACAAGTGGAAACAAGCATTATTTGCCTCGAAATTTCACACATATGTTGACCGAAAAAAAAACAAAACATCACATCATCTCGTAATTCGATGCAAGCCGCTTGGCAGATTCGCCAAGGGGCTCCTGCGATCCCGCCTGGATATCTCAATGAAATGTATGCACTCTGTGTTACACAGCGACCTCTTTCTGACAGATGGCCAGTGCGTTATTACTACAGAACGTTTCACGCTGACTCAAGAAACTGACATCGAAGAGAGCGGACAGTGCCTAAATTACGCAATGTACGCGTTCGAAATTGCCACTCCCTTTACACAGCCTATACAAACAATACTGCAGATTCAGTAGCACTCTTGCTGCGTACCGTTCTATTGTTTATAAGCTGAGACAACCCGGCTGATAATTTCGGGTCGGCTAAATAGTTCAGGTGTTTCACTGGGTCCGCCGTTCCTGTGCCTTCGACGGCGCTTGTTTTTTGATCGGAGAGGTTATATCCGATCATGTGCGTACGACTAGCACATGATCACTTATAACATAGAGATTAGGTCAGTCTTAATTCTAATTAACTCTACCTCTAGTGCGTCATTCAACTTCCAACTTTGGCCGGCACCCCGCCACCATCGTGTTCGGCGTAGTGGCCACATCGAGCCTCGGGTGTTGCACATCTTCGGAGCTGTCCAGAGCCACGCATGCACTCGCAAATTCCAGCTCACGACCGTTCAATATCCACTCGCACCGACACCGGAACACGATAACTGCACTCGATACACAGTTAGAACAGTAGGTTCAGATCACGGTGGTTCAGATTGAAGAAATGAGTCGCGCACACACACACACACTCCGACTGGTCTCGACATCCGAATTCTGGAATAGGGCACTTCTGTGAAGGGGTTCGCCCACTCACTCACCGTTAATGCGCATATTCCGGCAGTTGTCCCAGCAATCGTTAGCGCCCGGCACATCGTTCCAGCTCAGACAGCCGACGGGCAGCTTGTCTTTGGGCAGGCAGTCCTGGCTCACGCTGTCGTAGAAGTACTCCGAGCGCGGTATGTTCGGAATGCATGGGAGCCACATCGCGGGCTCGTCGCACGGAGACGCTGGCGGGAGAAGTGAGTCAAAGGTTGGACGCTGAATTCCTGTTTGATTTAATAGTCCGACAAAAACAGGAGGTTCATGCTGGCCATGACCGAGTAACGCGGTACCTGCACCTAGATACTTTTTGCGGTAACAAGTGCCAATAGTTCGTTACTTCTGGGGCGGGGGCTGTAACTCCAGCACGCGTTTCTCATTGTTACGACGAGAAACGCTAGATGGACCTTAAAAAGGATGGGGACAAGGTGTGTCAGTGTAGGTCATCCCTGAATAAAGGCGTTAAAAAGCAACGAATCATTAACGACGACAAATGTTGAAGGCGTCTACCGCTTCGTAAAGAGGACATATATTGAGCAACGAGTAAGTATACGTCTTAGTGTCCAGCTCAGGTAAGGCGTGCCTTTTGCATCGCATTAAAGAGAACCGCACTTCTTGAGAGAGTAACATGGAACGGCATACAGTCAGTCCATGTGACTAAAGTGTTCACGTCTCAACAAGACCACATAGAGGCCTACGCATGGCGTGATGGCGGACACCCGCCTCGAGACACGCAGCGACAAGATTGCACACAGCTCCGTCTTGTTGCTGCGTGCTTGCCTTGTGCTCGTCCTGAAACGCTGCATGCAAGGAGCGCTGCTTTGTAGCTATGCTGACGCAAGCTAGGCGGAGCTCCGCGGATCCACTACAGGTGACGTACGGGGAGGGGGGGGGGGCTTGTCTATAAGCTTGTATGGAGTAAACACCTCGGTGTGTTGGCTTTCATTTCATGAGTAGCGACAATGCACGAGGCGCGTACTCCGTGCAGCCCGTAAGAGCGAATGGCGGCAAACCACTCACTCGTGGCACATGTTTTGCGCCTCTGCACAACAATGCTATTCGGTCTGTGGAAGGAACGCCAAGTGTCGTCGAAGAATTTTAAAGGGGCGGAGCGACGATTTTTTTTACTTCGGGTAAATACCACTTAGTATAAATACCTTAATTTTACAACTTACAAAACACTTATTAGATTTCCTCCTTGTCAATGATAGTCGCGAACAAATAAAAAAAAAAGAAAAAAAAAAGCAGCGTTGTCCCTTTCAACTTGTATTCAGAACAGGCGGTCAAGTGATCTGGAGCCTATGCAGGCCGTTTATCTTAGCCACTCGCTGTGGTTGCGAAAGCACAGGGCACGTCCTGAGTTCCAGATTTTGTTATCGACGATCGATGCCACAGCGTCGGGCGACCGCCGACGAGTAGGTGCAATGTGCAATTGGTACGCTCACGCGCACTCTGCACATGATTGCACGCACTGGGCACCAGTGAGGCACCATGGTTGCCATTGTCTACGGGGAGAGTCAGTCATCTGCTCCTTGCGCGGGGGTTGCGATGACTTCGAAACAGCGTCTAGTTTTGATTGGGTCTGATTGAAACTATAATGGGCAGACCTTAATGCTTAATACCTTGAGGGATACCCACTGTTCTTTTTACAATCATCCATAAAGTGATTGGTGGTCTGACATCATCGTAAGCCCTGTGCATGAAGCAGACAAATTTGCACTCCGCATAGACATTTTCCGCATAACCTTGTACTTCCCCGCTACTGACGTACCCTCGACCCGGTGCACTTTAGAGCGGTAGCTTTATGAAAGGCACTTTGCGGAGATTTCTTCATCGTCCCTTGCCGTCGTCGCACGCGCGAAAAAAAAAAGAAGTTTTTTTTGACGCGAGGAGAGGGAAGTTGGGACTCCCTGTCCACCGTGACGCGCGAATCGAGTGAAGACTTGCGAAGAGAGACGCCCTGACGTGCGGCCAAGAATTGCACAAACTGAGGGCGAATCATCATGTCGTATGCTTAGACTTGTTTTCAGACATTTCTCGCGGTAGGCGAATCCCACTTTGGCAATGTCTCGTTGGTACACATAATGTTGGATGGTTTTAGAAACTTTCAACACGCTTACCCTCCTACTTTATTGATCACTCTTGGCAGTGGTTAGTGGCATCCACGACGCCAACCAGGACCGCTAAGATAATAAACTACGTCGCACCTCTGCCCTCGGGCATACGGGACGGCCCCATTACTCCCGCATGGCGTGACCGCGCTACAGCTTTAGCTTTCGCTTCTTTGCACATTGTGAGCGAATAATACGACTTTGTTCGATGGCCCGTTGACACAGGGTATGCAACCGCCTAGGGTATGCGCGAAAAGGCTTAGAAGCGGACGTCGTGGGTCAGTCAGTTTCGAGTGTTTTATACCTTGTTTTAATTTACAAAATCTACGGTTGCCTCGCTATCACTGAGTTGTCGTCCGATGCACAAATAGCTTGCCTAAGCATAAGAACACTTGCTGAAAGTGTGCCCCAAAAAGCTGCAGTGAGAGTGTGGCTGAAATGTTATTGACTTACAGATGTTCGCCAAAGATTCTTCATTATAAGCTCAGTCGATTGCGAGAGTGTATCAAGAGTCCTTTGTATCCGATTCATCGCCCTTTTTATACTCACGACTATTTCGTCTACGGCAAGAGGACGGATTACAACCCGGATCAGGTGCTCCGATTAGGTTTTAGGGAAGGATATGCCAATGCACCATGGCAAGGAAATAGTATGAAAACGTCTAGGTCTGACAAATGATGCAGGTATCAAATTCCGAGAACCTTTCTAGACAGACTATATTAAAGTGCTGATATATACCTTCGTTTTTGGAAGCTCAATCAAACTACCTCACCGTCTTAGTCACAGTTTCGTCGAGAAAGGAAGGGGATGTCCTCTGATCAGCCAGCTCAATTCAACCGATCAACTCCTAGCCAAGGTATTGTAGCCATGTCTAGCCACGTTCTCCCAATACCCACAACGTTGCCTACCCAGATACCTATGCTGCCAGAGCTAGCTAGTATTTGAAATTTTAAGCCGCTAGACGGCATTGTCGGGGCCGCGATTCTGAAGATGGCGACGGTCTGAAAAAGAGGGTCTATGGGAATTAAAATCAGTGCGCAGACCAGCTGAACGAAATTTAAAGTATTAATTTAACAAAAGACTAAAACAACAAAAACTTTTTTTTTTTTTTACAGTGGAAGAGAAAGTGATGGTTTGATAACGTTTCCCCGTTAGCTTTTCCTCCTTCTGCCCCAGTTTCGGATTAAAATCATGAGTGTTATAGGGCTGTGCAAATATCGTCTTTACGGAGATCGAACAAGAGGCAACTACCCGAATTCTCGTCGAGCCATTGCCGTATCGGGTCCAGACATTGAGCCGCAATCGAATATTGTGCATTGGGTACTGTGCCAACACTGCAACTTCCAAGCTTCGTCATCAAACTTTGTGATTGAGAGATTGAAAGAAAACGCTAGTTTTTATTCTTGAGATTACACCGCAACAAATACGTTCATTAGTCAATAGCGTTCTGTACGAGCATATTTGGGGCCCATTAGGGACAGAAGTTCGTGCAAAGTAAAAAAACAAACAAAATCTAAATGAATATCGTTGTGCGAGCGGAGGCCAGCGCGGAGCACTTGCTAGAGTGCTTCAGTATTGGGATCGCGCTTCATCGGTATATTGGCGACAGAGCGTGCCGTCATTGCACCCTCCGTGCAGTTTTGCAGACTTCCCTAGTGCAGGCTCCATACCAAAAAAAAAAATATATATATATATAAATAAAATACTCAGCGGCCTAAACACGGGGCAAGAAGGAACAGCAATGAAGTTCAAGAAACAACCACAGGGAGAGTTCGAAATAGTTCGTTTGAATGAGAGCGGTTAATTTTCTAGCTTCTGCTTGCTCGCGCTTTGCCATAATCTTTCTCACTTTTTTTTTTCGTTATAAATGTTTTTTCAAGAATGTTTTATTCTTTTTTACCCAGTTAATTTATGTTCCAATAGGTTAAGCCTGCAATGTTATACTTCGCTTCAGCTTCTGCCCTTACGCAGCCGACGCTACAAGCTAGTGGGACCAATGAAGCAGTGTCAAAAGCGCAATTCACTGGACCTTCTTCGTTAATGATTGGCTCAGCGACTAGAGAACACACAACGAAGCATAAGCAACACCACGATCGCGCGCTTGTGGTGCTCTCTGATGGACATCGTCAATTCCTAGCTCCGCCTGCGTCAGGACCTAAGCTGAAACCAAGTGGGAGCGGAGGGAGGCTCTTAATTTTTCATTCCTTCGTTTGCCTTTTATATGTGTCGAGTGCTTTTGAGGAAAAGTAGGTAGGTTTTAAGAACCCCAAAAAGGAGTGGTATGTCTCAATTTCTTTTTTTAATAAGCGTCGCGAGTGCAAATTGGTTTTGTGAACTATATTTGGCACTTTCTGGACCTGAAGCGCTTTTTGAAAGCGCTGGCTAAGCAAGTACATGATTATATCGTACATTTGAATACATATTAATGGAAAACCAGCTCTAAGTATACTTCTGATATCTCCCAGTAAATTAGGAATAGAACAAAACGGCATATCTGTATTACATCCGCCATCAGACGGTTTGCCTCAACGAGAGGTCACCCAGACACTTCGTTTTACAAAGACTTACGTGGTAAGATGTTTGGGCCTGCCAATTAACAGAAACAAAAATATGATGCCAGATTAATCAGCAATGTAGCACATCACTCAGACGTACTGGTATGGCTTCAAAACACAAATGTTTACCAAGAAAACCTCAGTTCAAGTACGGTGACAACTTGTTGTTTTCTCGATGTATATTTTCTGTTCTTGCTAAGCTGGTCAATCGAATTTTTGTACGTCGTAGGAATATGAAGCTAGGCAGATAAAATAAAGCAAAATACAATGTTAGAAAAAAAACCATAATTGTTCGCTCTTTCACGTGATATTTATATTTGTCCCAGCATAGTTCGAACAATGAATTATAAGAGATATGTGCAATGAATACATCCTGAAGTAGCTATTTCCTGGCCAAATGTCAGCTGCGAGACCAAAACTTCCCAAAAGGTTTTTGGGTTTGTATATTTTTAATAACAGAACAGTAGAACGCCCGGCCCATGACCGCGTATTCTTTAAG